AACAAGAAGAGAAAGAAAGAAATCATGGCAGGAAAAGCAGCAGCCCCCTCACACTGGAGCGATTATGTGCGTCTTAGATGCCGAGCCTCTGGGGCAGCCACAGGGACACTGGGCAGAAGCAAATTAAGTGATTAGTGAAGGAAAAAAAGCAGAGACCAAAACAGTCGAAGGCAGGGAGCCCGAGAAAGGATGCCCTCCTTGCCGTTTCCTACCACTGTGCAGAGGAGAGCCGCTAAGAAATGATACTTGAAGTTATATTTATTATTGTAAGGGGGTATGATATTTCTGGGCAGGAATGATGGATGACAACTTAAATTTGTGTCCAGGGAATGAAGGTGAACTGTGACAGAGTTATTTATCTTGGGAATGGAGGTTAGGGTCAGCCTAGGCTGGGTGCCTGAAGGCACAAGACATTGACAAATTTATCCTGCAGGCCGTATCTGAAGCCCTTTGTTTTGGATCCTGGCTACTCACTAAGTGACCCTCATCTTTCATGTTGGCAATGCGTGAAGGATGCGGTGAGTGCCAGCGGCCCCTTCTCCCCCGCTGCCCCCGCCCCGGCTCCTGCTACTAATTCTTGTCATTCACTTTGCTGACAGGCACCAAGCCCAAACTATTCCCAGTCCTGAAAGGGAAGGTTAAAATATTTATTTCGGCTCATAATGGCCTCCCTGATTTAGTGCAGGATCATTTTTCCTGTTGCCTTTGTCATTGCAGGTCACTGGAAGGACTGAGCGCATTCGGGAGCCTGGAGGAACTCATCTTGGACAACAATCTGCTGGGGAACGACCTCGTGTTGCCAGGGTTACCCAGGCTCCATACCTTAACCCTCAACAAGAACCAAATATCCTTGGCTCTGCCCGCTGCTGCCCCCACGCCCCGCCCAGCCCCGCAGTGCTCCCCTCCCGCTCGCCAGCTCTCCTGCCCTGTCCCACACAAATACCTGCGAAATGTCAAATGAGTTTTATGTGTCAGCTAAATTAAAGTACGTGAAATACAGTCCATGGGCAGACAAAGCGTTCTGTCTCCTGGCACTCGGGACACTTCAGAGTAATTTATTATAGGTCATTCATAAATGAAATGCACCATTATATCTTCCTGTTGCTCCATTTTAGTGTAGGGATCTAAGTTATGGCTGTGAAGAAATCTTTTTAATAGATAAAAATAGAGAAAGGAAATAATGTCACTGCTGCCAGGAAGGCGAATCCGGGTTCTGTTTGCTTGGGCTTGTGTGGGAGGGCGACCTCTGGTGGGAAGTAGCGGGTAATGCTTTTGAGCAAACAGTCTTCACAGAGATTTCTGGAAGGCTCTGGTGCTGGTTTGGGCAACAGTTCTGGTGAAGCAGACAAGGGAAGGGGCTAAGGTGGAGGGTAGGTATGAAGCCAAGGCCTATCTCTGTCTTTTACGGTGATGAGGAAGGCCTGGGAGAGCCAGTCTAGCACAGGGCCTCTTCGAAGCCGATGACCTAGACAGCCTCAGACGAAACTCAGAGGGACTCGTTGCTCTGGAGTCCAGGGAGGCCGAGAGTGGAATCAGAACCTCTGCCGTATGAGGCACGTGCTGGAGTTGGGGATCTCCATGCCATCCTGCTGCCAGCTCAGCGAGACAGGGAGTTGTCAGTACTGTTAACTCCTGTATCCACGTCTAGAATAATGCCTGGCACAGAACTGAGGGTCAGTAAATGTTTGTAAGAGAAGTGAGTGAATTGTCATCATCAGCTCTTCTTCACTGAGCATTCCCATGGATCAGGCCCTGTGCTGAGCAACTTTAAATCATTACAGGGTGGGGGAAAAAGGCCTACAGTTGTGAATGCACGAAACGCAGAGCTTATTCTTGTATTATTATTTATTCTTGGATTATTTTCCATACAAACAACTTGTAAAGCTCCTTTTGCCCCACTCTGTAGTTTTCATTCTTACCCAATCCTGTGAGAAGGGTGTAGTTACACCTTTCATGCAGATAGGGAGAGGTGAAGTCCAGACCCACAGCCAGGCATGTAACAGGATGCCAGGTCCCAAATTCAACCGCAGCTGTGGCTGTGTCCAAAGTTCTTTCCATCCTGCTGTATTACTTCAGACTTGAAGCCTAGTCATCTTGTTTCATTGTTGGAACATTCGAGACCTGGAGTGTTTTAACCACTTGTTCACCATGACAAGTAAGTTAGGAGTAGGAAAGGGATTGGGGCATTTTTCCCGACTATGATGGTGTAAGACCAGAGGCACGTAAGTTTAATCTATATGCATGTCAGCATTGAAGAGTAATTTGCAAAATCATCAGCCACTGTGCACACTTCAAGTCTTAAGTTTATACTTTCTTTATTCTGTAAAATAGCTACTTGTGGTCATTATTAATTGGCTCTTTAATAGGAGAAGGAGATGGCCTGTAAGTAAACATCAGTCTTTATCATATGAAATGGTGATGGGTTATTTTTCCATTTCTTATCCTTTGGTCAACTATGTTTTCTGGTCATTGCTTGAAAAAGTGTTCTCGTCAGTGTGTCTTATGGCTTCCTCGGCTGTCTTAGGGGATCAGTGGGACAATATTCTCAAATCGATCAAGGATAGAAGGATTATTAGACTAGAATTTGGATGATACGGTTCCTCCCTTGGGCCACGATGCTCATATCCTGTGTCCCACATCACTGCTGAGTATTAGAGTTTGTGAATGTGTGTTCATGAGTCAGCTTAATCACACTCAGCCCTGTGGCCTTAGACAAGTTATCCTCTTAGAGCCGCTGTTTATCATTTTTACAGGAATAAGTTGAATTGGATGATGGTTTTGTTCTCAGTCCTGCTGTCACCAGAGATGAGCAGGCCTCTTGGCTCTATAATGCTGATTTTCTTTGTCTTTGGTTGAGTCCTTTCTCTGCTCCATGCCTCAACTTCTCCCATCTATAGCAGTAATGCTGAGAGTGTAATAATATGGCTGGGAGGGACTGAAGCAGAAGGCAGTGTGTAGCTGCCTAGCTGACTAGTCCCGTCGTTGCGCTGTTGTATGTACTTCATTATCAGTAGATACAAGAGGTCATAGTTGACTCTCTCAGGAGGCAGCTCGGCTCTTCTTTCTCGGCAGTAATGTCCTCTTAAGCTAGTAATTCGGACTCCACCTTTTTGGCTAACTGACTTTCCTATCTACTTGTGAAAATACCTGGGGCTTTCCAACAAATACACAATTCCATATTGCTGTTCCTACTCCATGAAACGCCTCAGACTTGGGCTCTATCGGTTCGCTTTGCTGCATAATAATCCACCCCAAAAGCTAGTGGCTTAAAAAACCAAACATTTCATTGGTTTACGATACTATGGGTCAGCTATTTGGGCAGGGCTCTAATGACAGTTCTTCTGCTTGTCTTGCCTTGGGCTGCTCATGCGGCCATCGTCAGTTATCTGGAAGCTCAGCTGGGCTGGATGGTCCGAGATGGCCTCGTTCAAATGTCTGGAACTGGTGCTCGCTTTTGGCTGAACTAAATGTCTCCAACAGGCTAGCACAGGCCTCTCCACATAGGAGGAGTGTTCCAAGAGCAAATTTCCAATGTACAAGTACTTTTTAAGCCCTACTAGTATCGCGTGTTGCTGTCTCATGGCCAAAGCAAGTCACACACCAAATGTAGAGCCAGTGTGAGAGGGGACTATGTAAGGTGCATAGGGGCATGACTCATTTCATTAACAATCTAACACACAGATCTTGATATTCTGTCCCCTTAAGTTTTTACTTCATATTTGTAATAAAGGGAGACCTAGAATCAAGAAACTATTGACCTTCTACAAAGGTAAGTATTAACTCTTTGCTATAAATTGAATCTTATTTTAAATATATTGGGAAACTTGCTATCCAATGGGGTTCTACCTCAAGTTCTTTTATGCTGTTTGTTTTGTTTTTAATTTTTTGCTTTCTGTCATATGTAGAATGGTTATTGACAACCCCCCCCCCCC